GCACGGAACGTACAGAAGCACATGACGTGAAATATTCACAGTGCTCTTTGTAATACGTAGTGGATAAAATCTCTGTTAAAATTTCGTAATCTGAATTATAAGATAGCCAAAAATCCTGGTTCGAGCCGATATATATAATTTCTAGAAGAGTGCGCTTTATCCGTACCCAGCGTAAAAGCTCGAGATTATATTTAAAATACAATATCCTTCGAACACTTTCCCAGACTCGCGAATCTTCTCCCAAGGGTATAGAATAGACATATCAGTACGATTCCTTATAATCTTCGGGGATAGGGTGTAAATTACCGGTCTAAACGGCAGTAAAGGTAGAATAGGAATATCGATATATAGCCATATAACTAGAGAGCCTGACCCGACGTTTCATATGACCCGTTGATAATGCTTCACGCAGTAAAGTCGTACGAAGGGGAGCAACTTCATCTGACGGGCATTCTGCGGCAGGAGATGGGCTCTTACCTTTGCATCGCCTCGAACGGCGTGCCGCCAACGGTCAGCAAACGATATTACGTGAACGTACGATGTAAGTGAAGTGGCGGGCCCGTTAAATTGGCGGGGCACTCCGACGAAGAAACTTCCAATGATTAATTATAGTTTTCTCCCGACGCAGTTAAACCGCTGATTAAAGTCTCGAGCCAATTAGTAGTGGCACCTGCTAACAGTGACGTCGTCCTTCACTGCTACGTCGAGTCCTGGCCGAAAGCACTGAATACATGGTACAGGGACGATGGTGAGCATTATAACGTCGAATCTTGCGTGTCATTTCTCAATGTCGTGTTCCAAGGTGTCCATCCGTGAAACGTAATTTCTGTAATATTCTCAACTCTAATCTTAGACTGATTTTTATATTATTATGTATTTGTACAGAAAGAGAGAGAGAGAGAGAGAGAGTATTGGAGAGAGTATTTATCGCGTATTGGATCTTCTCAGACGATTAATCATCAAGAAGGACTTTATCGATTTCTGTACAATCAGTACACTAAGGAACTAACAAGTCATTTATATTTGAATTCTTCTGCAAAAGAATTAGAAGATTAACGTTTCTCCCCTTCATCCGCTAAATTTATCTCTATCAAATAATAGTGTGGAATAAATCTTGCAAAGATAAATTGATACGACGGAACTGCACTGTTGTTGTTTCGCGTCTGAATGATGATATATTACAGATCAGTAACATGAACCGGCCGCAGGATATATAAACCAATCTTATGGTTGACGGTTGTTGCAGGTATGAAATTATTGTCCGACGAGAAACATGATCTAACGGAGATTCCGCTGAACGATTATGCGTATCATTTGAATCTGACCATCAGGAGACTAACCATGGACGATTTCGGTAGTTATACCTGTTCGGCGGAGAATTTACTTGGCAAAGCCGAAGTAACGATAAGACTGCAAGGTAACTTGAAATATTTCTCAAATTCTTTTCAAAAAAACTTCTACTTCTATTTAAAATAAAACACAACATTGGTACTTTTAATATTAATAATTGTTAGAGATATAATTTAATGGTTTTATTATATTAAGTAATAAATAAAACGGAAACAAAACAACAAATAATAAAAGCAAGATAGACAACACAGACAACAATAATTCGAATAAACTCAAACGATACAATTAATTCTTTTGACCATACTCATTCAACGCTGTTTTACAAAAAGAAAAGCGCTCAACGCCAACGCTGTGCTTCTCG